GGGGGGGGGGGGGGGGGGGTGACAGCATGTCTCATGGGAAACCCTGCTCAGTGAGTTATAAGAACTCAAACATTCAATGAAAAGCGGCTACTTTCTGGGATGTTCTAATACCTTTTCTGAGTTAGGTCAAGTTGTAGTTGCTTTTTTGTGTGTCACACGCATGGCGTTTTAGCCCCCACATCAGCCCAAGTTGTAGTTTTTGAAAAACGTGTATTTGGACCCTCCAGGCAGGGTCCCAAAGACTATAGGGGCTTTGTAAGATGATCTACTGGAAAACAGGAAGAAAATTCAAAACTTCAATTTGAATCTATTTTTTCCTTACTCTGTAGAATTAATTTTCTTATGTATGTTGTATAACACACATAACATATTTGTACAGTGGTCCTAATATCTCTGTATATCCAAACAGGTACATATATATAATTTACAAATAAACATGTATATTTGGGGTTCATTCTCAATGTTTTGTAGCAGTGGGCTGTATAATCAAAATGTTCAGAGACCACTAAATTTGTTGGCAGAGGGTTAAATTGTTGTTAAGATTTCTTTGGTGTTTTTAAGAAATATATCAAGGTGTAATACATGCATCTGGTTAAAAAAGCAAATCCTGCATGAAAGTTTATAATAATAAGTAGTGGTCCTCCATTCCACCCCCTCCGTCCTCAGCCCTGTTTGAAAAGGCAGTCACTGGAAGAGTTTTTACCCTCAGTGTCTCCGGGGTACCTCCTCTAAGTAATACCCTCGTGCTGCTAATGTCTGTGACCAGCAGGCGGCGTTATCAGTTCAGTTCCTGTGATGTTAGGGGAAGACGGACTTATGCTAACCTCCTCCACTTCTCTCAGGAGAGGTGCATAATTCTTTCAGTTTCTTGGTTATGTTTAGTGTGTGTGTGTGTGTGTGTGTGTAAAAACAAAACATAAAATTTGCCATCTTGACCATTTTTGTGTGCAGTTCAGTTGGGTCAAGTATATTCATGTTGTTGTGAAACTGATCTCCAGAACTTTCCCATCGTGTAACTGAAACTCTATCCACGTTAACTGATCCGCCCCCGCCCCCAGCAGCCACCGCTGTACTTTCTGTCTCTGTGAGTTTGCTGCTGACACCTCCTCTGAATGGGAATCGCACAGCGTTTGTCCTTCTGTGACCAACTACCTCTATCATTTTAAATAATATGTTTAAATTTCTGTTTCTTCCATCAATTCCAGATAGTTACTCCCTCCCTCTGTTCCCTCGTCCTTTTTCTTCTCTCTACAGTTTTAGATTATTTATTCTATGAGGCCAAAGGGGAAAATAGGAAATCCGTAGGGTTAAAACCCCATAAAGCAGCATTCACTAACCTCATTGTACAAGTGGTGCCTTTCATGTCGAAATGAACAGTCAGGACAGGGTGTCGAATGCGGGGGGCAGAGGGAGCCTTGGGCACGAAGGGTGTGAGGGCCACTCCTCTCTGGCCTTTCCAGGGAGCACCATCATGTATGGGGCGCTGCTGCTGTTCGAGTCGGAGTTCGTGCACATCGTGGCCATCTCCTTCACATCATTGATCCTCACCGAGCTGCTGATGGTGGCACTGACCATCCAGACCTGGCACTGGCTCATGACGGTGGCTGAGTTGCTCAGCCTGGCCTGCTACATCGCCTCCCTGGTGTTCCTACATGAATTCATTGGTAAGACCCTGAGTGCGTAGAGCCCAGAGGTGTCACCCACGTGTGCGGGAAGGTGGCCTCCCCAGCACACGGCTAGGGCCTGGCTCTGTGCAGCAGTCCTTTGCACTTGCTGTCTACCTTTTCTTACAAGTGGCAATTGTGAATCAGCATGTGGAGTTGAGGAGTGAGGATACAGGGCACGATCTCCATGTAGAGGGTTTTCTTTTTTAAAATTACGCAGAGCTAACTGGCTTAGAAGAAGAATCCATTTGACTCAGTGAATCCACTTGATTAGTTATTGGGTTTCTCCAGTGAGCAGGCCACTGTGCTGAGCTCTAAGGAGCTATGGGGATGTCGGGTATCCAGGTCTTACTTTCGAGTAAATGATAGGCCAGGATGGGTCCTTAAACAATGCCCCAGAAACTACAAAAGAGAGGCAGTGGCTTCTTCAGAATCATGCCTGAGCTGATGATTTTTTAAGCTTTTTTTTTGGCCTCAAGCCCCTTTGTGCCCATTGACATCTTAATCAGAAGGCCAGTCTATAAAAGTGGTAGAAGTGACCTGGATATGGCCAAGTGGCGGGGCTGGGAGGCGCCAAGCCCTGGAGCTTTGCCCGTGGGACCGTTCCTTTGCTGCTTCGTCCTCATCTAGCTCCTATCAAACCAAGAAGTGACACGTGTCATCAGCAGTGGGCGTTGGTCCATTCAGTGAATATGTGGGAGCTCCTGCTGTGTGCCAGGGCTCTGATGGCAAACGAGGTGGGTGGGCTTACGTGGAGCTTCCCTTCTGATTGGGAAGACACACAGTGAGCAGGTCAGTGGATTTGTGAGAACAGGAATGTCAGATGCGATCAAAGCTGCAGAGAGAGAAAAACAGTGAGGTGATAGAGACTCGGGCAGACCCCAGATAAAAACGTCATGGAAACTTATAGATGGGCAAGTGTAGGCCTCACCCCAGCTCATTTCTCTGACCACAGAGGTGATGCCAGTTACTCCTGGCTCACTCATCACCAGCCACCCTCTCTAGAGGGACTAGCCTGGGTTTCTTGCTCCTCCAAGCTGGCCTCTTGCTTGCTACGAGGTGTTGCTATATCATTTCCATTCAGCCAATACTTACCCCTTGATTGTGAGCCACAGGTCCCTGCAGGGCCACCAAGGTGACCCACATGCCACGCTGGACCCACTGTGCTGCTGAGCCCTCAGGTGCTGACACAGGCTCCAGTTCCTGTCCAGAAGCCAGTTTCTAGCTCAGCTTCATAAAGTCGCAGCACAGTCACAACTCAGGTGGTCCAGCACTTTCTGTGTTGTGCTGTGGACAGTCTCAGGGGACTCTACTCTGGTTTTCCCAGTGCAGGGCAAACTCAGGCTTCCCCAAGCTTCAAAACTTCCAGGCCAGGGATCACTATCTTAAAAGCCCAGCAAGGAGGCAGCAGAGAATCCTCTTTATTATTGCAAAGCCTCATACACCTCCTTCCTCTTCAGTGGGAACATATAAGTTTCTGTCCGTGTTCTTTAATCAAAACAAAACTGAACGTCTTCAGGGGCCAGAGGCTGCTTCCCTACTATGATGCTCCTCTCTGCTCAGAATTGCAGACAGACTCCCTCTGGGGGAAGTTTTCAGTTATAGGACACCCCCTTCACATACTCCTCCTGCCCCGTGGGAGGCCTGCAGGAGCCAGGGGTTCTCTAGCAGCGGCTGTGGTGTAGCCTGGCTGCTGGACCCCTGTGCCTTTGCCATGGTGGGCATTGTCAGCTGGGGGTGATGTGGCCCCACCAAGAAGGGAGCAAAAATTGGTCTTGGCTGGGGTGTGAACAGGTCTTGCTCCATTTGTGTATTAAGTGCAGACTATTCACAGTACTATAAACATGTATACAGGATACCTGTGGCATTAAAATTTCATGGAGTAGGTCAATTAGAAAAAAAAAGTCTAAAAAGGATCCTTAGGGGGTGATTCTGAGGAAAAGGCTGAGAAACTTCACCTTACTGTGGAAGCATCTTTGATCACGGTTCTTCTATCAGCTTTAAAACTCTTAGAGGTTTTAGTAAAGGTAACAGGAGCATCCCTGTGAAAAGTGAAGTTTCAGAACAGCTTCACCTTGGTCCCCAGTCTCTCAGAAAGGCTTTTGTGAGCACCTACTATGTGCTTGAGGGCTTGGTCCTGAGGGGGTCCCAAAGATGTGGTCCCTGCCCTCAGGAGGCTCAGGCTACCTTTGACATGGGCCAGCCACAGGGCTGCGGAGGGGCACATGGTGAGACTGCATGGTGGATTGGGCCCTGGACCCAGCCCTGCACTTAGTAGGTGCTTAATCTGTGCCAGCTGCATTTCCGCATCCTGTGCTCAGGAAGTGGGGAAGGGGTTTACTTTGGTATCCGCTGTGCTAAAAACCACAAGTTGTTATTCCTCTCTCTTGAAAAGCTGGTAACTGCCAGGTTTACTATCCCTCATCAGGGAAGGGAGCACTCCATCCTTAGGTCATGGTCCCCAAGGGTAAGCCTGCTTCTGACAATAGGGTGTCAGCCCACTTGTACCGTGCCTCAGATCCATCTCGTGGCTTTCTGTGACTGCCACTGAGACAAAGAGAAAATGTTTCTGGGAAGCAGAAATGTGCATTTGAATGTCACTTTTCTGCTGTCCAGGGATTGGGGTTTAGAAAGAAACTCCAACTGTCAGATTCCAAATCAAAAACACTATCTCCCACTCCACCCTACCCCACCCAAGTTTTCTTTTCCTAGTTATTAAAAATAGCATTTCACTAAATATCAGGAAGCTACAGAGACAGGTCAGAGAGAGGAGGAGAGAATAAGGGAAATAAGCTGACAGCAGAGGTCATGTGTTTGTGACATGAGACAACTTCCCCTTTGATAGCTGTGACAACTGTTTCTGGACCACATGCACCTTCCAGAACATTCCCACCTGTTCACCGCTATCTTCCCTGTTTGCTTTCAGATGTGTACTTCATCGCCACCTTGTCGTTCTTGTGGAAAGTCTAACTGTTTCTGGACCACATGCACCTTCCAGAACATTCCCACCTGTTCACCGCTGTCTTCCCTGTTTGCTTTCAGATGTGTACTTCATCGCCACCTTGTCGTTCTTGTGGAAAGTCTCCGTCATCACTCTGGTCAGCTGCCTCCCCCTCTACGTCCTCAAATACTTGCGAAGAAGGTTCTCTCCCCCCAGCTACTCGAAGCTCACGTCCTAGGCTTTGCGCTTGGTGGAGGGGACCCTGGTCTCTGCACTTTCCTGATGGACAGAGTTCAAGTTCCATTCATATTAACCACCTCCCGTGGATTTTGCAGTAGTTGCTAACACGTGCAGTTTTGATGTGACAAGGCTCTGCACGCACACGGAGTCCTAACGCTGAATAAACAGGAGGGAGGTTCCTAAAAGGCACCCACGCAGGCCTGTTTCAACCCCTGGTAATTCATATTTGAGTGGATGTGAATATGTTAAAACTGGTGGCTCAGCTGAGAGATTTATGTGGGTCACTGTGCAAGCTTGTGGATCTTCAAGAACTGAGTGTGGTTGATATCTTGGATTTATGATTAATTCTTTATGATTACGTACCCTTCAGATCTTCAGCATGACACTACTGGTGTGTGCTTCAGAAATGTAAGTTTCGGAGATGTAAGATTCTGATGCCTACCAGCTTACCTTAGGGAGAGTTGGGGACTCAAGGATCAGACAGTCCCTTGTCTTTGGAGTCCTCCTGAATGCACATGTATTTTGTGTTGTCCTTTTAAGACTTTGTAGAATGACAGTAAGTTGCAAGCACTGATAAATTATCTATTGACATCACTTCTATTTTGTTTTAAGATTCTGTAGTTTTGCAGTATTTCCCTCTTCCAGATTCAACCATTTCTGCCAGACAGAAAAGGTCTACAGAAAAGATGTATTGCATTAAATGAAGGGTTGTTTAGGAATAGGATCTTTGTCCAGAAATTTCAGAAAGTTGAGCAAGTCTGACTTCTTCATGGAGTGATTTTTATGTGGTTTCAAAGGTAGTGGAAGAGAAAGTTGTTCTTAAATTTTTTGAGCCTCCGTTTGCTTTCTTGGAAGTCAGTCTGTAAACTGGAAGTCTTAAGTTAGATCCGTTCTGAGTTCGCAAACCTTGAACCTGGCCTTGTTTACAGAGATGGGCAATGGCTTCTGCAGGTCAGTCATGTGGAACCCTTGTGAGGAGATTTTAGATGTTTCCAGCAGGTATAGAGAATGAAGATGACCTCTCTGCTCTTTTTATTAATTCCCAATTTTGGTTGAGGTGCACAAGTTGACTATTAACGTCAACACTTAAGATACCGCTTGACATCTCGAAGGGAGAAAGCTTCCCAGAGAGGCTGAAAAAGCGATACGTGGAAATGGAAGATGCTCGCCCATGTCCACCACGAACCTCCTTGTTCTCTTGTCTCAGCCACACTTGGGTGGAGGCAGTCAGGGGCGAGAAGGACCGAAAGCCAAGTGGAAGCAACCTTGTCATAGGATCATCTGGCCAGTGGGCAGCTTGCTGCCGCCACCCGCCGGGGGATCCCCAAGTGTCTAGGAATGAGCACACCATGCTTCTCAAACACTGGGTCACAGGGGGCATCCAGTTGGTTGAGAGAGTACCCAACCCTTACCTGAACAGATGGAACTGTAATCCCAATAGAGCACCTGGGAGTGCTCAGACACTTCCATGGGGTGATCTTAGTTGTAGGGGGGGAGTAAAGAAACAGCTGACAAGAAACCCGAGCTATTATATAAGCAACTCTCCTGAGTGTATACAGCTTAAGCATAAGAATATAGTTGACCTTTTTCTTGGTTCACCAATCTGGAAAGTGCTCATATGAAGCACCATGGACACTCCCGCCTTGGAAGGGACTTAGGTTTCTGAAAGCCAATTTAATTTGAGGTCAGAGGGCCTCAAGGCACAGTCAGCACTGTTTGACACGTTACCCCGTGCCCTTTGATATACCTTTTGATGATGTTTGTTTTATCTTTTTTCCTTCCTCCCTTCTCTAAGAAAATGACCAGATAGGTTTCCCCATCTCGAGTCATTTCTCAAATTTGACTGTCCTGGTCCTAGTTTGGTGAGCACGCATGCACACATGTGTGTTGTCTATGGTGCTAGGTGAGACAGGTGGCACTAACTTCTTGGAGGGCATCCCTGGGCGCATTTCAAAGTTGAAGCAAACCACCTGTTTCCAGATGCCTTGAGCAGGTAGGCCACATACTGGCGTTTCTCCCACTTTTAGCATTATTATATCCCATCCCAGTCGAGCTCACCTTGAGTGGAATTCTTTTTTGTAACAGTTATCTTAAATATCATCATCTCTTTACCAACATTTCCTCTGTTTGTTCTCTGCTGAAAATTTAGATTGTACTGACAAAACTTTTTAATATATTTTGAATTCTGTGCTCATTGGAAATTGACAAGTTAATGCCTTTTTTTTTTTTTCCCCCTCTAGACTTTTGTTTTTATACTTTGTCTTGTTTTTACTGGGGCGGGGGTGGGCATGCACAGATGCCTTTACATGCATCATTTAAAATCTTTGCCAAAATTGCAAATGGGACATACACATTCTGCTTTATCCTGTTTAAAGCAAACATCTGTCGGTCACTTTTACCTTTTATGTGTGTTTGAAATGTGTGTGTGAGTGTGTATATCAAGTTTTTCTTAAGAGATATTGGGTTTCCATTGTATTAAAATTCTATCACCCCCAACTCTGTTTTCATTTTAAAAATATGCAAGGAGCTTTGTAAATACAACAGATTTTATTTCTCCCCTCTTCTTATAATGTAAAGCTATTTGTCATTTATATATACTTGAAATATTTCCATTAATGATGTCCATTTCTTTTTGGAAAAAAAATTATGTTTTTGAGTGGAACTGAAAAGTATCCCACCGTGTGAGCAGCGCTTCTCCCTGGAGCTCCGAAGCATCTTCTCATGCCAAAGCCCCATTACCTGTGAATCTGTCTTCTCCGTCACAGCATGGTTCGAGATGCATTCTGTTAATATAGCTGGGCAGTGTCAGTGAATATTGTGTTTGTGGGGTCAGGTGGGGGAGAGGGTGTGGTATTTGCAAAAAATAAAAAATAAAAAAATTGTGGCGAATTTATTACTTTGTTGCAGTGGGGTTAACTGTAAACTCATCTGGGAGTCCATGATTTCCTTATTAGTAAATCTCTCTATATGTAATCCTCGTTGCAAATATTCATCAGGACAGAGTTTTTTGATTAGAAGGGAAGCTGTGGTACAGTATGCTTTAATTTAGCAGGAACTTCCAGATGATTTAAATTCTCGATTCTATGATGACACACATGTGATCATTCGTGTTTCTGAGAGATTCTACTTTCATTGTTTGCCAGCGTGGCCCATTGCTGTTGCCCAATAAAGCTCGTGTACTTTCTGCCTTGCGGGGTCATTTTAATTTGTACAGAAACATGAATTCTGGTGTCAGAATGAAGACTTTTTATTGTAATGCTCCTATTTTATGCTTATCTCGTGGTACATGAAAATGTAACGAACTTGTTTTCCAGTTAAAAAAAATTATATTCATTTTGGCAAAACAACCCCAAACCAATGCATGTTATTTATTATTCTGTACTATTGCCCATTCCAAACATGTCAGAATTTTAAAAAGTAATTGATATAAAATGGGAAAAAAGGTGAAAAACATAAGATTCATATTGTATTTATACATACAGTTCTTGATGGCTTTGAAATCTTTCGGGGGGTTTTTTTTAGTCAAGGGATGAAGATTTGGGAATACAGTCACTTAAGTTTTAGAACAAAAAAGGTTTTTAAGCTGTTGTGTAGGAAGCAGGGGACATCATGTTTTATTAATTTAATCTGATTTCAACCAGGGGTGATTTTGGCCCCCAGGGGATATGTAACAATATCTGAAGGCATTTTTGGTTATAACGGCGGGGGGTGGTGGTGGA